TTTTTTTTTTTTTTTTTTTTTTTTTTTTTCTGTACGCGGGCCTCTCACCTCTGTGGCCTCCCCCGTTGCGGAGCACAGGCTCCGGACGCGCAGGCCCAGCGGCCACGGCCCACGGGCCCAGCCGCTCCGCGGCACGCAGGATCCTCCCAGACCGGGGCACGAACCCGCGCCCCCTGCATCGGCAGGCGGACTCCCAACCACTGCGCCACCATGGAAGCCCTGTGATATTTTTAAAGGAAACAAATCAACCCCTTATCTCTAAGCAGTTTACATGAAATAGAGGCTTAAGAACAGTTACCTAACTAATTCAGTTAGGGAAGACATATATACTATTCCTCAATGTCTAAAATCAAAGTTGTTTGTGTTAGATCTAAATTGGCTAGAGTTGCTTTATTTACCCATTAAATTATTTTTATGTGTAACTATAATCCAAGGGAAAATCTGCATATCTAAGCTAATGTACTAAAAATAAAGTTGCAGAAATATTTTTATGGACATGGAAAGATATTCAAATGATCCTGTTCATTTTTCTTTGGAAAATGGGGTATAATTTTTATGTAGTATATCTATATCTACCCCAGATTTTTAGTATGTAGTCACAGAAAAATATATTCCACATTAGTACGTACTCTTAGAAATCTGGAGAGGTAATAATGGCGGTCACTGGGTGGATAGGATATATGTACATAATTATTTTTGCTTGTCTGTACTTTCTAATTTTTCAAATTGTTAAAATTAGAAAAGCTGAAAATGCTTATTTATAAAACATGAAAATAGTATAGAAACATAATTTTAAAAAGCACACGTTCCTCTTTACTGCCTCTACCCCACATCATACCCTACCTCTTGAAATCCTACTGTTCTCCAGAGGTGACCTTTTTATAGGTGCTTACAAATATTATCTATGTCTCTTTGCACAAATAAACAGGGGTTTGTTAATATAATCAAACTGCTATTTTAAGATATCATACACATTTTTCCATGTCAGTATATTTCTGTTGAGTAAGTAGACTCACTCTGTATGCAATGAGTATGTATTGCTTTAGTAGGGAAAAAATAAAAATAAAATAAACTTTGTTTTAAAAAATAATAAAACAAAAATTTCACATTACTTCCTATGTGAAGTATACTAAGTAGATGACAAAGAATCATAGAATACATATATCTTCAGATCTTAGAAATCATCTATACACTCAGAGCCTATCTGCTCTTAAACTTTACATACAATTCTAATCAGCTTTTTTTTTTAATTTTGCAACCCAAAACTAATTACAAACATGAGTAGGTGGGCATTGAGGCAGATGCAGATATTAGTAAGAACACCTGAAAGTCTGAGTTCAAAAAAGGAGAAAAATAACTATGACAGTATAGTCTGTATCATTTAATATATAAAGCAATCTGAGCTTTACACAGCTATTCAATAATACTAATGATCTTAAGATATCAAAAAAGGTAAAATTTTATCTTTACATTTCTGATTGAGAAAGCAGATCTCTCTATAATGCAAGTTATAAAATAAATAGTCAAAATCAATTTTTAAATATTTGGTAAATAAAATAAGAAAACGATAGTTATCTCAAAAATATGTTAAAAGCAAGGCTCTATAATTTGATATTCTCTGTTGTACCAGTACGTTCTGGATCTCCATTGGCTTCTCAAATACGGGTACATCTTAGCTACTAGAAAATTAAAACATCTGCTTCTCTTTGGAAGAGTCATAGTGTTACTAGGCCCTTAGTAAGGGTAAGACACTGTACATCCCTCCCCATTCCACTGCATATAAAAACATTCCATCCCGTATATAAATAAACATTTTTGTTTTCACCAGAATAATAGGTTTCTGGAAATGAAACAAACAGAAGCCCGTCTTCCTAAAAAGGTCAGCCCAAGAAATCTCAGAGGTGTATAAACAGCTGCACACCAGAGCTGTTGCCAGTTACTTGTACGGGGTAGCACTGGAATGAAACAGCACACACGGAGGTATTATGGGACAAGTTGAATTAAAGAGCTTTTCCTCTTATATCTTCTGGCATAAACTTAGTAACTTAGATGATTACAATGGAAAAAGCTTTGGGTAACTGATGCAAATTGCCCACCCACAGCTATGTATGTACTGAACCTGTCTTCAGCACACAGCTATACAGCCTTACCTCTGGCTGTAGCAACTTCATGCTTCTGAGATGTTAGTTAGTTGAGTGGAGTCCATCAGCTCCTCTTTTGCACATGGGCTCCCTTCTCATTATTAAATACACAGTACTGAACTCATCTATCCGGAGACTATATTGCAAAAAACTCTATTCTATTTGCCTTTACCAGCACTTCCCTTCTTAGTCCTCTAACTCCATTCCCTGTTTTTCCATTTAATCTGAGTTGAGTGTCTATGTAAACTAACCCCCCAAATTATCTCCAGTTAGTACATACCAAAATCATATATAAGGAAATTCTTGTCAGGAAGGAGATTACCGTGTACACCCTTACCATCAATACCGCAAAGTTAGTAGTATGGTTGCAGCGGCAGCGCAAGAATCCATCAATGACTCCTTCTTTGTGACAGCCATGTGTGTCCCAATCCTTCAGGGAAAAATTCCAATAGTCACAGGCATAGGAATGAAGCTGGAATTCTTTTTCATTGTACTGTGAATTGATAAGACAATGGCAACTGATTTTTCAAAATGCTTAATTGGGTAGAAAAAATCAAATAGGCCAAGATAAGCATATGAAAAACCAATTAGATATGTACAAAGCATAGCATCTTCAGTACAGATTGAGGAGAGGAAAAGGGATATAAAATTCAAAGTAGTTAATTTTGGGTTTAGCTAGTCTACAAAAATATGGATGGGGGAAGTTGAGGTGAATACTGTCAAAGAATCTTTCAAAGAGTTGTTCTGTGAATTTCTTTTGCCCAAACTGTCCCTGGTTTTGTAATCAAGAGTGGACTGAATTATTTCTGTTAATAGGAAAACTCACCCTTGGACTAAAAACGATTTCAACAGAAGTGCTCTGATCTTCCACATTTTCATCAGTTTTGCTTGAGATAATTTTTTGACTAAAATGTGATTTAGCTATAAGTGTTTTTGATTGGAAAAGCTTGCTGTTTTGATACACTACAAAGCCACATGCCTTGGCATTAGCTGTGAGGGGGAAAAAAGGACACTAAAATTAATAAATGAACCTTAGGGTAAGCAAGAAACAAAGTCCCATGCCATCACTGAACTGCATGACTGCTTAATACTTGGGTAAAGTACAGAAAACGTGGTTTGCTGGCTGCCTTTATTTAATTGCAGTATGTAATTAACATATATGATCTGTGGTTGGCTATTCCACCCTCATTAAGTTTTTTTCCTGAGATAAGATTCCTTATATTCTAAATGGAAACCATAATTCCTGCCTAATCCACCTGAAAAATAAAATTGGAAGGATATCATGTATAAAGTAAACATTCTTACTTTCTATGCAGTGAGACGGAGTAAACACGATGTGAAGGTAGCTCAAGACCACGTTGCTTCCCCCACTGACAAGACATCAAACAAGAAACAGCAGAGGGTGAACATCAGGACAGCTGTACCTAGAGGATTGCTCTGTGAGGTCTGTCTCCCATTCAGAGGGACTGAGCAGGGACCACTGTATTAAGAGACTGGAGCTCAAGTTGTGCATATCAGGGAAACAGCAGAGGGTGAACTCTGCTGTCTTTCACAAGTGAAAAACTTGTGTGTGTGTATTTGCGCGTGTGTGTGTATATATGTGTGTGTGTGTGTGTGTGTGTGTGTACACACACACACACACATATATGTATATTATATATACAAGGAAAACTAAAGCGGTGGTAGTGAGACCAGCCTAATCAGTCTTGTGCTTTGAGAGATAGGCAGGCAAGGCCCTGACAGCCCCCCAAATGTCCTCCACAGCCAGCCACTTTGCTCTGTCCTCATCTGGGAACTAAAGACATTGGCTTCTGAGGTGTTTTCATGGCACGTTAAGCCCACCAAATTGTTCCTCCTGGATACTAGGTGACAAAGTTAACCCTAAAAATGTAGTATGGCTTCTTTTTAATCTTATTTTTATGAAAGAGTGACATGCTTGATGTAAAATCCAAATCCATCCAAGTATATAGATTTAAAACATGAAATTCCCTACTCACCCATCTCCTCATTTCTACAGTATTCTGGTTATTTATTAGAAAATCATCTTTTCATCTAGATAATTAGATTCACTAGAATAAATTATATTTACCATTATCTTATAATTTTAAAAGAATCTCCATATCTCTAGACATAATCCTCCTGGATGTTTATTTATATTCTCTATTTTCTTGATCAAATTTGTCAGAAGCTTGCATATTTTTCATTAGTCTTTCATGGAATCAAATTTTTATTTTGTTGATCAACTCTAGCATTTGTTAATTTCTATTTTTATTAATTTCTGCCCTTTTTATTAATTCCTTCCTTCTAGATTTCTTTACGTTTATTTTAATTTTTATGCCTCTTTAGCTGAATGATTATTTTTTAACAATTTCTTTTATCTAATGAATTTATTAAAGGATACACATTTTCCTTTAAATACATAAATTCAAGGTGTACTGAATACCTAAATACAAGCACAAACACTAAAAATATTCAGGAGAAAATATAGGAGACTAGCATGACTTTAGTAGAGCAATGAATTTTTTTAAGTACCAATTACAGAAAAAAGATTGGTACATTGGACTGCATTATAAATTAAAATTTGAGTATGACAAAAGACATGAAAAACCAAGTAAAAGATAGCTATAGACTGGAGAGAAGATATTTGCAACTTCTACAACCAATAAAGAATTAGCCAATTAGAATTATATAACCAGTGAGAATTATGAACTTAGTCTTTCTAAAATATGTACTTTCTGGCACTGGATTTTCTTATTTGGGGAGAGAATAAAAGTAAATGTGTGTGTTTGGTTTGCTTATTGTAGTTGAATTAACCAATTTTTTTTTTAGACTCTGAAAAGTACAATGTATGGATACCAAGGGGGAAAGAGTGGGGGTGGGAGGAATTGGGAGATTGGGATTGACACATATACGCTAGTGGTATTATGTATAAAATAGACAACTAATGAGAACATACTGTATAGCACAGGGAACTCTACTTAATGCACTGTGGTGACCTAAATGGGAAGGAAATCTAAAAAAGAGGGCATATATGTATATGTATAGCTGATTCATTTTGCTGTACAGCAGAAACTAATGCAACATTGTAAAGCAAATATACTCCAACAAAAATTAATTAAGAAAAAAAAAAGAAAAGTACAAACATTTCAAGATAGACATAAGAATTTCTAAAGGGCCACATGCAAGATGATAAGGAGCTCATGGTGGGCACCATACTAGTAGAGATAACTGAAAATTGGTACTGCTAGATGATGACTGCATCAATTACATAAAATATCCCAAGGTCAGGTCTATAGGATGAATTTAAGCCTGTGAGTGCCATTCCACTAGTAAACACAGGCAAAGCTTATGACTGAGTATTTTTTAAATGTATTTTTAAATGTAAAACTGAACCACTTTAGCTAGATTTTTGTTGGAAAACAGATTTGCATCCATGGCCAGAGCATTTCAATTCTGCTACCCTCCAAAGGGTTTTTGCAAAGAAAGAGAGGAAAAAATAAAAAAAGGAATTATCTCTATGGCCTAGAATAGTAGACTTAACATTAACATAATTTGGCAGAACTCAAACATACTCAAACACAAATTATTCAGTGTGAAACAGTAAACATTATTTCTCGTTCAATGGATATAAGTTATTAATTCCATGAATTGGAGTGCATTTTTTCATGTAACATAATTTAAGACCTGCTTTTCGTGGTGTTGAGCAAGATCTGAAGTTCAGCCTGTTCATTCAGATTCAGTTTGTCCACACTTGCATTTACAACTGTGGAACTAGAAACCGGAGAATCCCTAGTTCCTATGAGAAGGAAAAAAAGCAGAATTTCATAAAAGTCTACACTTTCACGAATAGAGCATTATCGGTAGCAGAATGCTCTCTGCTATTACAAGAACCTGAAACAAACAGCTCACCTTTCAGCACAGTGAAGAGAACACCTGTAGATCCCACAGTGCCTTCTGAAGAGAAATTAACAGACTGTATTGCTATATTAGGTTCTACCACTGACGTGTTGGCCAAAGACAAGGAATAAGTTTCAATTTGCTCAATAAGCCTGCATAGAATAAAATGTAACAACATAACATTGTGGAGATTTGTCATAAAATCAGTTGTGTGTGTCCCACATTCCAGTAGAAAGGAATGAGCACAGAATTCATGTGATCACAATATTGGCACAATTCCCTAAAAATACCTGACTTTCTTTACGAGAGTCTTACTTTGTTACATATACCTTTTTTTAAAGTTCTGGTGGACTCCTCCCACTGACGCGTACCTTGGACACAGATGCCAGAAAGCTGGAATTCAAGAATGACAGATTTCCCAGTAGAAACAGTCTTTGTTATTCTGCTCTTCTCATAAAAGGATGGCGCTACCACCCTCCAATGACCAGGCATTTGATTCTTGTTTCTCCAGTGCTGAGACTTAATTTCCACTTATTCAACTCTCTCCTCTCACACAAACCCCTCGGGTTCCAAAGCATCTCTTATAAGTATCGACTCCTGAGGTGACAGTTCATATGGAATTATGGAAGAGCAGATCTCTGAGCTCATTGCCTCGGCTATTAACTAAACTTTGCAGGTTTTCACAATGTTCTTTTCTACTTTGGATAAGTTAAAAGATAGATTAGATGGAAGGTGGGAGGGAGTGGGGGGAATCTGTTAATTTGGTGCTCTCCAAAGGTAAGTCATAAGACTGTTTCTTTTCCTGTTTCCTATAAAAAATATTTCCACTCTTTCTGTACTTGACAAAACAAAATGTCTCTATCTAAGATAACTGGTTCAATCTAGTTTTCCCAGAAATGAAAGAATTTCATTAATATGTAATTGTTTTTTATTCTAAATCTTTATTCCTGACACTAATATATCTTTTCTCTTCCCCAAGTGAGATTTTAAAAAGAAATAAATTTTTAAATAATTTTAAAACTTCATAAAAAGAATGTGATAGTCATTCATATGGAAACATTCAAGTCAACTTCTCTATTTCAAAAGTTTTCCTTTCATAACACCATTTTCTGTAATTTTCAGCAATTCACACTATGCATTTCCCACTTGATGAATAGCAATCATACTCCAGAGCTGCTTTCGACAGGAGGAGTACCTAACAAAACTGCAATCTGCTAAGAACATAGTTCATACATTCATTCAACCAACAGTGTCTGTTGAGCACCCACTAAAAGGTCAGTACCTGTGAAACACTGGCGATACTAAGGGGAGCTCCTTCAGGCATTTGAAGGCTAAAGGGGAAAATGGGCCAGGTACATGGGGGTGTTTGCTGCTTTTAAAGGGCTGCTCTAGCCACAGCCACTTGTAAGGCCTTTATTCCTTCCATATTATTCTTTCCTCCTCTTGTCGTAACTGATTGGATGATAGGTGGGTGCATGTCTCAGAGATCCCAATCAGGAGGCTGGCTATCAACATAGTACAAATGACTAGAAGTAATCTGATTCTTTTCCCTAGGAATCTTCCATTTAGTGCAGCAGTTATATCAGAAAAGCCTGGCTTTCAAGGGGACCAGAGAGGTCATTAGAGTCAGCCCTCCGTATCCGCGGGTTTCGTTTCCGTGGTTGGTTGAATTTGCTAATGTGGAACCCCACGCAGATACGGATAGCCAACTACACCATTTTATATAAGGGACTTGAGCATCCGGGCATTTTGGTTTCCGTGGGGAGCCGGGGAGGTAAGAGAGGGGACGGTCCTGGAACCAATCCCCCACGGATACTGAGGGAGAATTGCATATCATTGTAAGGACAAATACAAATTAAAAATGAGAGGTTTAATTCTTCCTGTGGAAAATAAGGGAAGAAATTTCCCTCCCCTCCTTTTTCTTTGAGCATTTACTTTAGAAAACTTGCAGGCACTTTCTCTTCTCTTTGAAATGTAAATAAATCCTTTTGAAAACTAGATTGGCATTTTGTCAAAGACCTAGGAATGTCTTTCTCAGGGACCTGGGAACCATCTCTTTGAAATGGAAACATCGAGGGAGCTAGCTAGTGCCCCTATCTCCCAGCTTCTGTGGGAGAGTAGTAGCTTCGGTGGGTGGGCACCTTGCTCCAAGTTGCAAAACTACCTCCTTTCATAAAGATATGAAAGGTTTGTTCTTCCTCTGGATAAAGTTGATTAGCTAACACAAAAGGTCACCTCAATTACCCAGTTAACTTAGGATAAACTGTGTGTGGCAAATAGTGCTGTCGAGTTCTCTTAACTGAGGACTAGTTATTATTTATCTGAAAACATGTATGTAACAGGTTGTATCTGCTTGCCTACATAAAGAGGTCAGATTCCCTTCTTCTTCCCAGTCTATTAAGGGTTTGTCTGTGATGTTCGTCACATTCTGGTTTAATGCCTGTGCAATAATTAAAGTGTTTTCTTTCTCTACTACCTTTGTGGAGAGGATTTTGTGGGAGAAGATTTTGTTTTTAATTTTACTTCCCCAACATCATGAAAGGGTTAAATTATGAGAGAGCAGAAACTATAAATAAAGATGAGACATACATGTTTACTGAGTCATGTTAATGATAAACACAGCTGCTAACCTATTTTTCCAAGATTTAATATGGATAAGTCCAGTATTATGCTAGCGATTTACATACATTATCTCATTTGAGCCTTACAAGAATCCTGCTGAAGCAAGTCCCAAAATCACTCCCATATTACACTGAAGAATCTGAGGCTCTTTGGAGAGATATGGAGTAATTTGGACTAAATCATGTAGCTACCAAAAAGCAATGCGAAGATTTGAATCCAGAACCGTCTGATTTCAACAGCCACTGCCGTTACATTCTCCCACAGGGAAGACCCAAAACTGCTCTACTGAGAGCTTCAAAGCTGCCTTGGAAGCCCTGCCATCCCCCTGGTCCAGCATCCACAGGGCCCAGCTGTATTATGATCCTGTTCCTAGGTTCCCAGGAGATTCCATATGCCTCTTTACAGTAGCTCTCTTTTGGTTAAGATAACTTGATCAGCTGTCTTGTAAGCAAAGAAAGCTGGCTAGAACAGAAATGTGCAATGGAAATGTACAAGGTAGTCAGTATTAGCAGTTTTATGTTCCCAAAGTTAGGTAAACAAGGACAACTAGGAGCTTGAACGTAACAGCAAAGTTTCAAGGTTATGGATCAGTCTTTACAGCAAGTGTTCAAAATGGAGAAATAAGGTCTTAGATTCACTGATTGAGTGAGATGCCTTCACCAGCAGAGACTCTGCCCTGGCTGGGCCCACTTCAATACCCTGCCTCCTCCCAGTTTAGCACAAGAGAATGCATGAAAGGATGCTGGAGAACTCTGCCGTGACAACGTGCGATGAATGAAGCTGGAGTGAGTTCTTTCCTCCCTGTCACTCTCCTCTGTTTCACTCTCACCCTGTCCACTTCTCCCCATATGTGTAGAAGGGGAGTTCGGTAGCTTAGAGACACAGAAAGGAAACTGTAGATGAAAGAAGGGGAAAGTCAGAGTGAGATTTACCATTTAGGCTGGTGCCTATCAGGAGACCTTGCACATTGGTCTCAGTTCAGCGGATGGAGTTTGGAAAGGAAGAGTTGCCCCAAGTAACAACTAATTTCCTTCCAGGGGAGAGAGGAGAGAGAGAGAGAGATTACCTCTGTTGGCAGCTCACCAAGAGTGTTCTCCTGAGGAGAGCTAAGAGCTTGCTGACAGGATCTTAGGGCTCGAGATTGAGGCGAAAGCCTTATTTACATGAATAAAGACCTGAGTCCACAAGGCTTTACACAAAAGATCACCTGGGAGAGGGTAAACTGATAGCCCATCATTAGAAAAATAAGTAGACTAGAAATTCAGAGTGGGAGGAAGGAAGGACTGAGTGTGGTTATACCATTTCATATTTCAACGCATCCTATATTGAAATTTTTTTATTTATCCTCTAAACACCTTCTTCTATGCCATTTGGACTTTACACATAAATCACACATAATTGTTTTCTTTTTTCTCCATGCCTTAAGCCAGTAAAATTCATAACTGTTTATTAATGGGACAGTGTTTTCATCTATCTCATGATCTGTGACTTTCTCAGCCAAATCCCACAATGGCTCTTTCCTCAGCCTTCTCACAAAAAACATCCACTCCTCTCCTTTGCCTCCAGCAAGACTGCAAACACAGAACCTCCAGCTCTGAAGGGAGTTCACTGAACATAGACTCTGGACCAACTTCAAGAAAACTGGGAGTGTTCACACTCCCAGTGAGAAGGACCCAGACTCCTAGAGAAATCTGAAGTCATAAAATACACCAGTTCAATTGTTTATAACACCTCTACCATCATCTCTCAGAATTATAATCTTGTCAATGTTCTGTTTCAGGCATTTGCACTTTTTCTACTTTGAGGACTCAACACTAAATAGGTACTGGTTATAATATTAGAGAACTGAGAACTACTAGGAATTTCTCCTAAGGAAATAATAGGTCATGCGAACAAAGATTATGTACAAGAATGAAATACCAAAAGACTTGAAGCTATGTAAATGGCCAGCAGCAGAGAACTGCTTAAATAATAGCTGACTCATATCATGCAGTAATCTAAAATTTATGATGTAGATGCATAAGTATTTATATTAAAAAGATGTTTACAAAGTATTAAAGTGACAAAAACAAGTTATAAATTAAAAGAGTATGTAGGGCTTCCCTGGTGGCACAGTGGTTGAAAGTCCGCCTGCCGATGCAGGGGACACGGGTTCGTGCCCCGGTCCGGGAAGATCCCACATGCCGCGGAGCGGCTGGGCCCGTGAGCCATGGCCGCTGAGCCTGCGCGTCCGGAGCCTGAGCTCCGCAGCGGGAGAGGCCACAGCAGTGAGAGGCCCGCGTACCGCAAAAAAAAAAAAACACAAAAAAACCCACAAAAAACCATAATAGTTACTCAGAAAAGAAAAATACATAACCAAATGAAAGATGGTGATTCTCTTGTCCCAAGAAAAGTAATATCTTTCAAGCAAGTGTGATGTCCCTTGATGGCTATATTACTGACATTTTTATGCTTCCTGATTCAACAGCACAGTTATTTTTTGTAGCCGTATCTGTTTTGTAAATTATAAAGAAATATTTAAGACACAAAAAACATATAAAAATTATGACGGTAGGACTCCCCTGGTGGTGCAGTGGTTAAGAATCCGCCTGGGCTTCCCTGGTGGCGCAGTGGTTGAGAATTTGTCTGCTAATGCAGGGGACACAGGTTCGAGTCCTGGTCTGGGAGGATCCCACATGCTGCGGAGCAACAAGGCCTGTGAGCCACAACTACTGAGCCTGCGCGTCTGGAGCCCGTGCTCCGCAACAAAAGAGGCCACGATAGTGAGAGGCCTGCGCACCATGATGAAGAGTGGCCCCCGCTTGCCACAACTAGAGAAAACCCTTGCACAGAAATGAAGAACCAACACAGCAAAAATAAATTAATTAATTAATAAATTCCTACCCCCAATATCTTCTTTTAAAAAAAAAAAAAAGAATCCGCCTGCCAATGCAGGGGACACAGGTTCGAGCCCTGGTCCAGGAAGATCCCACATGCCTCGGAGCAACTAAGTCCATGCGCCACAACTACTGAGCCTGCGCTCTAGAGCCTGTGAGCCACAACTACTGAGCCCGTGTGCCACAACTACTGAAGCCCATGCACCTAGAGCCTGTGCTCTGCAAGAAGAGAAGCCACCGCAATGAGAAGCACGCGCAGTGCAACAAAGAGTAGCCCCCGCTCACCGCAACTAAAGAAAGCCTGCACACAGCAAGGAAGACCCAAGGCAGCCAAAAATAAATAAATAAATAAATTTTAAAAAACAAATACTATAAAAAATAAATTATGATGGTAAGTATCTATGGACATACCACAGGAAGTAAGTACCAATACAGTTGAAGCTCTTCTTTTACCTCTGAGCTTTTAATCAAGAAGCTGAAAAGAACTATGTAAAGAGTAGAATCATGAATACTTGAGTAAGCATGATATATGTGGGCAGAGGCAATTTAGATTCGGCAAACGGAACGCTGGTCTAAATAATTTCTTAGAATAAATAAGGCAAAGAAGGACATAGGAAGGAGCAGTGCATACAATTTATTTAGTGTTTCAAAGAGCCCTTGACACACATAGAAATAAATATCTAAATAAAATGTGAAAAATTTTCCCAGGTTCATTATTCACTATCAAACACTTGCATAAACATCTAGAATTAGTTACTGAGATATCCGGTTCTGCAGGAAGTGGATGATAACCTGCAGAAAGGTGTGAGAGGCAGGAGGATTGGTCAGATGAAAATCAATGCAAACCAAGGACTGTTAAAACGTTTAGGGAAAATCATATGGGATAATGGGCTCTAAGCTGTCAGGAGAGGGGTCTATGAATTTAAAGGGCTACTCTTAGAAGATATTACCCGATCTGGCATTAAAATCATATATGTCGTCAAAATCCTAGATATCATCAGGGAGCATATTAGAAATAGAAAATATCATTTGCTCCTTTATTCTTGGAAAGCCTCTGTGCAAGCAAGGTTGTCACGCTTCAGGAAAGGTGTGATGAAGCTAGAAAATGTTCCAAGATGGAAAACTAAAATGATCAAAGAGGTGAAGGACTCCTAACTGTGAAGAGACTTAACTGCAATTCTACCTAGAAATATGAAGTCTTAAAATAGATACGGTGTAAACCTACAGTCTACCCAGTCTTTAAAATTTAGATAAATTATGTAACAGCAGATCTTAACCTGATCAAACTCCAGGAGATGGAGGAGGCTGCAAGAATAAATCTATTGAAGAATTAAAAGGAATTTACTACCGATCTATATTTCAGTTTTTAGGAGAACTGGAATTATGTGATGTAACACCCAAAACTTTGAACATTGGCATCACGAAATGGAGCCAAACCCTTCCACAAAATCTTCCTTGATGCCTCTTCTAGGGACCTAACACTAGTTGGAGAGATGATAGGTATGATCCAGCATAGCAATTCATATGCCTAAACAGAGGAGATGCTTGGAAAAGCACAAACCATTCAGAGTGTTCTTGTCACATGTTTGCAAGGAAGAGCCATATCTTCCCACTGGAATTCTGTGAAAAGTAAAATTCTCATAGGTACTGTTTTCACAGAAATTAACTATAAGGGAAAGAAAAAATATTCTTCATCATTAATCAAAAAATTTTCATTATAAATTTTCACTTTTCTTTCTCAAATTTCAAACCAGATAAAAGTCAAAGTTCAAAACCTCTCTGGTGTAATTCGAAGGGTAATAGAAGGCTTATAGGACTCACTGACCAGCCAGGAACTACATACTTTGTTATCTAGTTAAGTTACTACCATTACAATAACTAGTATGTTCGATTACAGGTTCCAGTTAAAATGTGCACAATATATAACTCAGTCGAGGTGGGATGTGATCACTAACACATCAGAAAGGATAGTGTATCAGATTAGTTGAAATCTTGAAAATCAAAGATATAGAGCCTACAGTGGCAAAGGGCATCATGAGGGTGTGGGTTAAACAAAAAGCTAAAGTCATGGAGTATGTGGGATACACTGGCTGATTGGAGGGTAGGTAATTATAGGAGTGAGCTTCTAGGGCTCTGAATCTTAAGTAGGCAGCATGAAGTGTGTAGAGTGTTGGGAAGCACACTGCAGATCAAGAAGTGGCTTTGAACTTTGATTCTGAGATACCATTGACCGAAGTCAAGCCACTAATTTAATAACATCTCTCCAAGAGAAAGGAAGAAAAAACAAACACTTCATCTAAGTATATACTTGGATGAGAAGATGCCTCTTGATTTCAGAAAAGTTAAGTATGTTAGAATTATGATATTTGAAATGGGGTAATATGGCGTATCACCAATTGAAAGGAGCTGAGAAAACCATATTACCCATTGCTCTATAGTAGACACTGAAGTCAGAAAGAAAAGTAACTGAGTTTTACAGAGAAACTTAACAGTTGGGAAAGAAATGAGGTGTACTGAACATACAGGTAAATAGCACAAGAAAACTCAGCTTTTACTATTGAGCTAATAAACACATCTTAAGTCCATCATCATTATGCCCATTGTTACTACAGTCATTAACAGAAGCTTCAAGAAGCTTTGCTGCTGTCCTTATAAACACAAGAGTCACCTAAATCTCACACCCTAGTATTATCCCAAGTAACTTACTGATTGTACATCTCCGTCCTTTCCACTCTTCTGGACAAATGCATCTGCCATTTTCCCAGGTTCCACCATTCTTGCAGAACTCTATAGGGGTGCTAGATGTGGGGCAAATGTTCCTAAAGAAACAATAAATAACAGAATAGTATATGAACTGGCTGATTAGTTTCTCTTTTGGGGTCTGTGGCCTTTAATTTCTATATGTAAAACCATTATTTTGAATATCACTGCTGAAAAATATTCTTTGTAAGATCATCAAAAAATATATACACTGAGAATCTACACAGGGTATACAATGCTTACTAGATGTTATGGATATGAAAAAACCATATTTGAAAGATATGACACCTTGACCAAGGAGATTAGAATCTACTGAAGGAAACAGATTATATAGATGATGTATATAGACTAGATAGATAGATATAGATGAACCATGTCAATATGCAGATCTATAAGTGCTATAAGAATATAGAAGAGAGATGTTGAGGACAGAGGTAACCCATCCAGAGAAGACTTTTCAGAAGAGGTGGTGTTAGCATCAGATTTTAAGACTAAATCTAAAGAAGTCAGATAATGAGGATGATTATAATTTTTGTGACTTTCTGTTTGAATAAAAAAAAAATCCCACAAGGACTCAGAGGCAAAAAATATACAAATCAATTTTCACTGCAAAGTAAAGAAGCTGTTACAGTGGAGGATTACTGGACTGAATGTCAATATTATGACATAGTATGAGTGTGTTTCATGTTTGGTAATTGCAATCATTGTTGCTTTTGTTGTGGTCATACATTTACAATGCTTGGTGTCAGTTTATTTATCTCTTGTAAAAATAAAATACAGTGTGTGTGTGTGAAAAAAATAAATAAAAATAAAATTAAAAAAAATAAAGAAGTCAGATAAAATGTAGGCAGGATACAAACAGCAAAAATTCAAAAACATGGAAAGTTCTGATGTGTCCAAGAACAGAGAAAAGCTTAACATATCAGGAGCGTTGGTTCTACGTGGATCAACAGCAGGACATAAGCTGCACTGTGAGCAGCTTTATAGAACAAGCAGGACATAAGCTGCATTGTGAGCAGCTTTATAGAACAAGCTGAAAAGATTTAACCCTGCAGCAGCCTAGAGGGGTCTTAAAACAAGGAAGTAACATAGTAAGGAATATTTTTTAGGAAGATATCTCAAGCAATACGGGAAGTGACTGAGGCTGGGAGGCAAAGAAGACCTGCTAGCTAAATGAGAACCTGATCTAAAACAGTGGCTCTAAGGAAGTCAGGTGTCAATCAACTCAGGAGCATACCTGAGACTCGACTGTTTGGATCTAGTGACTGGTTATTTTGAGCTGAGGACATTGGGGACACTGGGGACTCTAAATTGAAAGACAGCGTAGATGGTGAACAAATTAACTAACCTTATGAATACAGGAAGCAGAGTTCCAGTTCCAATAATGATGGAGTAGATTGTACCATATTAACCCTCCCCCAGATGACAATTTTAAACACTGGACAAAAATTTAAAACTAACTACTTGAGGACATTGGACAGCAATAAAAAGCAGAGAGAAACTGAAGGCTATTCCAAGTT